AATGTAAATATGGATTGACAACGGTTTAACTGATGTTCTGAAGGCATATTCGTGTAGAAGAGAGGGGTTGAGGGGGGGTCGTAGTGTACTTTTGGGGCTCCGTGGGGTCATGAGGGGGTGGGGGGTGGGGGGCTCCGTGGGTCGTTTTGGTCAAAAATGTCGCATTTCACCCAATCACCAAAAACTCATCGGATATCGACGAAGCTCGACGCCGCGGTCACGCCCAAAGTTATTTCACTTTCCAAATCGTTTTTTTTCGAAAGATATCGCGAAAAACAAGATTGTGAATATTTGCCCGAACGGACCATAGAAGAGTTGGATGTGAAATCATGAGGCAATATTGATATTGTGACATCCCAAGGGCAAATGGTACGGATCGTTGAGCAATTATGGCTCCGCCGAAACGGGCATCACGAAGTTCACTCCTTCATTCATGCCCATGCTTTTATAGCAATATTTTTCGATGTCCCACGGCCCAGTGTGAACATCGAGTCCATATTCCCTTCAGTAATCTGTCTTACTGCCGCACCCCAACGTGACCATTTTCACTCGTTCGTACAAACGAATGCAAACTCCCACAAACATGTCTCCCAGGTTGGGTACCATCATAACTATGAAATCGCGGGGCACCGTTGCCGAAGATCATTGTCACGTTCGGCTTCGTCTTTGCCGACGGTCCATGTCGCTGTCGGCTTCGACTTCGCTTCCTCGCGGACGGAACCGATATACATCCGAATTTGAATGCCCTCCGGCTGCGTAAACACGACACTGCTGTTGAAGCAGTACATGTATGCGAAAGTGATGCGGAAACATTATCATGTGACATCCCAAGGGAAAGCGCATCTCCGGCGTTGACGAAATAGAGCTCCACGGACACGGCCACCACGAAGTTCACTCCGTATCTCTTGCCCATAGTATTCGTAGCAAAGTTTTTCCGCGCCCGACCTCGTGCTGAAAAAGCAAGTCCTGACGCCCTCCTACAGTCTACTTCACGGTCATAACCCTACGTGACAATTTTCGCCCTTTGTTTTTTGTCCATGAAATCATGTATTATCTAGGGGTCCCTGTGTCCGAAGTCCCATTGTCAAACGGAGTCCCCACTCCCACACACATGTCTTCCTAGTCGGATCCATTCGGAATTATGAAAATGCGGGGCATCATGGACAAAGACCCGTGTCAGTGTCGGTTTCGACGTGGCTGCCTCGCGGAGGGAACCGAAAGCCGTGCGCGGCAGTTTCACTCCCTCTGTCCAATGAAGGGTTATTATCCCCCCTGCTTCAATGCTTTGGTGGTCAACACTGAGGGCTGCCCGTCCCCCTCACTCCCGCAGGCTATTGAGGTTCAATCCTTGCGGCCCGTGCGCCCACCTCTCAAAGATGACATGTTTAGAGACATTTGTAGAGATAAAGTGTATATTGAGATGGGTGTGTCGGGTGTCCTAAGAAAGTACGCCACTGCAATGGCAAACACGGCCTGTCATTTGATTTTCATTGGACCCAATAGCTGGGGTGCTGGTCGAGATGTTCGAACCTACGACCCAGACCCAAAACCATCCAATCGCGTGTTTTCCTCTCCAACACAACGACAAACATGAGGATGAACCCTTCAGCGTTTGGAATGGATCAAGCACAATCGATAGACACCAGACAAAAAATGAACTTCCTGGTAAACGTCGAGCTACTGTACCGCTAAGAACACAACAGTCAAGACAACACTTGAGGACTTGTCCTCTATCCACCACGCCCAGGCTCCTCTACGGGCCGTTCTTGACTCTTGTTCACTTCCGCGAGGTGGGAGGTAAACTGGACGAGAAAGTCCATGTCTTCCCTGTTCTCAGGGTCGACCGCCAGGAGGGACGGGAATATCCCGACCAGCTGATGATTTGGACAAGGCGACGAGGACCAGCGGGAAGAAGAGCAAAACATCGCGGTACATCTTAGCAAACCCAACAAGCTATCCCGTTCATGCAAAACACGCCTATCTTGTCACTTTGCTGGTCATTTCATTCATCGCCGCTTGATGCGGATCTCGCGAGGTGTACCGTTCCCTCTCGAGATGCTTTCAGAAGAATTGGACGCAAGCAGTCACAGTCTGTCTGATAGAGGATAAACAGGCAAATCGGACTGACGAAGAAACGCGAGTCGTGGATGGGGTCTTGCAGTGGCGAGAGAGAGAGAACGGCTTATCAGCTGCGTTGGTAACGATTCCACGAGCGGACGGCACGCTACTGTTTTCACCTTCTCGGACGATTCGAGCGTCAGGTCAAGCTTGTCCGGTGAAAGCCACGCCATGAAAGACCCGTCTGCCATCGTCCTCCGGGACATCTCGAACTATCGAGGCACAACAAGGCAGTGAGTGAATGGCAGCAGTGGGAGGGCGTCCTCTCAATATTTACATGGCAATGAGCCACGAACACAAATGGAGATGGAACGCACCTCCTTCTCCCTCTACCCTATACTCAAGGATATTCCACGCGGAGGGAACGGAACAGCAACTCGGCGTTTACCGGGATTCCATTCTAACGCGGTAACCACCAACCGGGCGAGCCAGGAGAAAAAATCACATCAAGCACTGCAGGACCATCGCTACCAGGAACAACACACATGGCACACACGACATGACGGCAGAGTACCCTATTGCCAACGGGGTGCGTACATCCAAGAGTTTGGTCTCGTGCGAAATATCCTGACCGAGTCTAGCCCGCTCCAGCAAGACCTCCAGCCTAGCCGTCTCGTCAGCCGTTCTGAGCTCCTGCGGTACGGTGCGTGGCGAATTCACGTCGATGTTCCTGTTTCACGTTCTCAGGTAGGAACGCATTGGGGTTGAGGGGCTTGGAAACTAATCAGTTATTGCGCAGAAATATGCAGTAGCTCCTGCTCACCTGTCTTGTGCCGACGCAAGTTCGATACACTCTTTGCCGGGCAGCAAATTACCCCAGCTTTGAACAACCAACGGCAGAGCTACGTTAAGAGTCGATTTACAGGGGGAACGACCGGTTGTGTTTGTTGTGCTGGTGGCCGGAATGACCACATCCAACGGGTAGAGCAGGCTTATTCCACACAGCAGTCAAGAAACCACCGACGTTCACACAGAGTTCGTTGGCGCCAACCAATCCCTACGGTACAAAACCATCCAGTCCAAAACACACCAAATATTCTTGTGGACAGCAACGAGCGAAACAGGTCACCGGGGAATCTCGTGTGACCGCAAGGAGAGCTTTCTCAAAAGGAGCCATCTGAACGAAAACAGGACTTCGGGACAGCAGTGTGCGGTTGCACGCAGACAGTGTCCCTACGGGTGTGTGGTTGTACAATACCGTGGGCTGACTCTATCTGCACTGCTCCTACCGGCTGCGTGAAGAGGTTTGAGCACCTCCGCTCCCTCTTCAAGCAAACCATCAGGAGCACGACAGCCACCGAAACCACGTCTTGCGCCGGTGCACCCAACACTGGATCCGCCGACATGGTCTCGAAGGCCATCGCCCCCGACGTGCCCATTCCCCCCGGACACATCTCCCCGATTTCTGTTGATGTTTGACATGGTGCACAGAACAGCGCGACACGACACGTTTTCGGCGGTTGGCAGGAGGGGTGGGAGCAGGAAAACCTGAAGGGGGTAGAGAAACATGCCCATGTATTGCACCTTGCGTGAGCTGCCGTCGAAATCGTGCAGTCTTGAACGAACAGTTCACTCAATCGGTTTCATTCATTAGCGGTCGCCAGGAGCGCTATTGTCACAAGGAGGATACACATATCTCAGACCAAAACCAAATACTGATTTCGGACAGGATATCATACGAGCACGGCGTACACCCGGGAAATACGCACAAGCGGCTTTTCACCCGTTCCGCATCAGGGGGATATTGTACTGCTGACAGCCCCAAGCGGATTTGCCATCAGACCAGAGCGGTTCACATTTGGGACGGTAGCGGGTGAACAAATAACCTCACCTGCGGTGAACCCGAAGTCCGCCAGCTTGGCATGCAGCCCGTGCTCCTCCGACTCAAATACCAAGACGTTCCCTGGCTTGATATCCCGGTGCACCAATCCCATGGAGTGCAGGTGTTGAATCCCTCTCGCAAGGTCAACCACTAGCCTGCAGAGACAATGAAGGTAAACAACGGTAAGGGAGGAATGAGTCAGCGACCGGTCTTGACATAGTTGGTAGCACTGCAGAACTTGGGGAGGCTGAATCGACGTAGACACCAGCCGGATGTCTCGAACGATTTCGACAAAAAGCGCGATGTCTACACCGTCGCAGTCAAGGTGCTATCGCCATCAGCCCAGCAACTTACGCCTTGTCACGAAGCACCGACGATCAATGCGTTCGAGGTAGGTTACAGCTTCAAACCATCGAACATGCTGTGTCGGAACATTGCTCAGGAACGGCAGACCAATCGTCATCAGTGGGGAAGAATGCCAGCGTGTAGCAGGGCATCTCACCTTAGTTTTTCCCCAAGGCCATGGGTATCGGAGTTTATGTACGACCCCAAGTCGCACCGAGCTTTGGGTAAAAGTATCGGCATCAGGTCGCTGTCGTCGTCCATTGACAGCGCACCGAGCACATTGTGGTGAGGGGTTCGCGCCAACCTGGGGAACAAGCACGAAACGGAACACTTCATGTAGGGAAGTGTCGCATGGAAACGAAAAACAAATTTCACCCCGTGAAAGGTGTAGCTTCAAGGAGGACATGGACTTACGAGAGCACTGTACGGTCGGGCCAGGTCTGATGACAAACAACATATTGTTGTAGAGGCGTTGTCGGTGCGGACGCTAGACGCACGGCCTGGCACGGGAGCGCCACCATCGCCACCATTGGGACGGCCGACGGCACGTACTCGTGGCACGCGTGTGTGTGCAACAGCAGGAGATATCCTCCTCACACAAACAAAGTAACACGCGCGAGACATGCCCGAGTATTGTTACCATTCCACGCCTCGTCGTGCGGCAGTCGCGAGGCCATCTCCGCAAAGCCATATCGGTGTTGAACCTGGGTTGATTCGACCTATCCCTCCCAGTACCCTGACGTAGAGAGTAAACGAGCAAAATACCAAACGTCCAAACACCGGTCCTCTCCAATGGTGCAATCTCAAACTCACCGTGCGAACACCGTCATCTCCACCAACGCACAGAACCTCGCCGACAAACTGGCGGCCTGGACGAGAGAGATCGCAAGCCAAACGGGGCGTGAGGCGCGGCCGCATCTATCAAACCACACTAGGGCTCGAGTGTTTTACATGCCCCACACCTGGTTGGGGCCCAGCTTGAGGGTGTTGGCAGAGAGGTGGCCGGGTTGTGTCCCAAGCGCAACACTTCTCCTTGCCAAACCTGCTCTCTCCACCCGTGGGCACGTACGCAGCAAAAGTGGCAACTTCTAGACAGTGCAACAGTCCACGGCTCACCTGTGTCACGGTCTTCATGGCGAACGACTGGCCGGGGAGGCTGGCGTACGAGACGTCGTCCACTCGTCCGAACGACCCGTACCCAAGCGGTTGCGCGAGCACCATAGGCATGTGCGCTGTCTTCAGAGCGTTGATGGCGAAGCTCTGCACCTGATCGGAGGCATACACTTCGGCGAGGTTGGCCAGGAATAGGCGCCTGATGCTACCCCTTTGTCGCCATCCCTGCCCGACTTGCCTCGACAGACTCGTCAAAGCCGCCTGACGAGTCTGCTCGTCAGGTGGGTCAGTCTGTCCCACGGACGGCGCGCGGATCAAAGGCCCGTCTCCCGGCCCGGCCGTCGACGGTAGCCCTCCCGCCGCGCCGGTCGCGGATCGACCCTCCGGAATACACGGACGAGCTTGACCCTTCGCCGCAACGCCTCGCGGGAAGGCCTGAAGACCCTGAACAGTCTCCAACTCCGTTTCCTTCCTCTCCGTCTTGGCCTCTAACGCCATCGATGCAATGCTGCCGTCCCGATCCCTCGCTGCTGACGGTTCCTTGCCTGCGGCGGTCCCCGATGGCGAGTCATCTAGGATGGACTTGAGCGTCTGGACCCGCTTCATCGGTGATGGCAACGGCTGAACCTTGCCTTCAGCCTTGGCCTCTAGAGTATGCGATGCCATGCCGTCCATGTTCTGCAACACAAGCTGCTCCTGCCGCATGCCGACGGCCACGTGTTCACATGTCTTGTCCTCCTTCGTCCAGAGGTGCTCCCCAACGCCAACCTGCCACCGGGCGACAGCAGCACGAGGATGTCGTTACAAGACCAAACGTTCGTTCATGGTCCACCAATCGACTCGTACGGCCGAAAGGCCATGCGAGGGGGGAGGAGACAATGAGGAAGCGCGGCGCCGACAAAGTGCTAGCTCTCAATGTGTCCGGGAATACACAACAACGGGACTCACAGCAGTAACCAGTACCTGAATATAGACGTGCTACAGTAATGAGTACCTGAATATGGACATTGCTGTTAACGTAAACGGGTTTCATGTAGGAGGGACGCGACCATACGGCCGCGTACTAGGCGGAGTCTGGTGCTTCCAGCCCAAAACTCAAGGGGTAACTGCTTCTTGCCGTGGTTTCATGTGCAACGGAAGCAATTTTCTGCAAGAAGAGATGTATCAGAAAATCGACCGTGTTTCCGCGTGCGAAGACTCATGCTGCATGGCCAAAAGGTGTTGATGTCAGCGTACCACACAAAGCAATCTGCATGTATTCCCACCTCCCGTTGCGAGAACTTACCCTTTCCCCCTTCAGCTCAACACGGTGATCGAACATATCGACACGCCCCTCAGCCCGCATAGCGCCGCCCTCCAAGTCCGTCGCCTCCGCCCGCATGCCGTGGTCTGCGGTAGCACCGGTCGTCCTTCTGGAACAGACTTCGCTGAAGAAGCGTTCGTCCCGTGCCTTGCTCTCGATCCGACTCAAGCCAGCGGCGGCCACGTACGAACCGTTCCCTTCGGCCATCCACGACCCGGCTCCACTCTCGCGGTGCCTCACCCGATCGTTACCGGCCTGCAGCCTCTCTCGCAGCATGATTGGTGCATGCTGCCGCCCTTCCAGGTGCTGGCGGCTCGTCTCGCATGATTGGCCAACTCGAGGCGCCGCCTCTCCCTCCTCCACGCCCCCCAGAAAGCCGAGAAGGCCGGCTGGTAGCAGAGTCCCCTGCTCTTGCCCCGCGTGTCCGGTTGTGCGGTTGGATGTGTGTGCCGACTCCACTACCTCTCTCTGCTCCTCCTCTTCACCAAGACACCCGAAGAGGCCCATTGGCAACACTGCCCCACCACAACGCTGCTTAAAATCTCCAAAGCGTCGATGTGATGATGTTGCCTGCTCATCATGGCGGACTTCGGTGGTGTCGGCAGTAAGCATCGGCACCAAGCCCACCGCCGGCTGCCACCCCTCTTCTTCTCCTCCGCAGTTGTCTCCGATGGCTTCGGCAGGTAGGCACGCCTCCCCCCCCTGATGGACACCTCCAAAGGGTACCGCCGGATGCGGTACCACATCCGTGGCGGCGATGGTGGGCATCCGAATAAACATCACCCTCTCTTCCTCCTCCACCTTCTCCTCGTCTTCACCGAGATATCCGAAGAGACCCGTCGGCAACAGTGCACCTCCATCCTGCTCAACATCCCCAAGGCCTGCCGGGGGATGTAATAGGTCGAAGTCCTCACCATGGTGAAGTGTCGGCATCAAGCTCACCGCGGCTTGCCGCCCCCGTTGTCCTGCTCCGCGATTGTCTCCGACGACGTCAGCAGGTACACACGCCCCCCCCCCCTGATTGACACGTCCAGAGGGTACCGCGGGATGCGGTACGACATCGATGGCGGCGATGGTGGGCATTCGGACCTCCGACACCCTACCTTCCTCCACCTTTTCCTCCTCGTCAACCAAATACCCGAAGAGACCCGGCGGCAACACTGCCCCGCCCTCCTGCTCGAAATCCCCAAGGCCTGCCGGGAGATGTGATAGGTCGAAATCCTCACCACGGTGGAGTATCGGCACCAAGCCCACCGCGGCTTGACGCGCCCCTTCTTCTCCTCCGCGGCTGTCTCCCATTAGGCCGGCAGGTAGAAACGCCTCTCCCCCCTGATGGACACCTCCAAGGGGTACCGCAGGATGCGGTACCACATCGATGGCCGCGATGTTGGGCATCCGGACAACCGCCACCCTCTTCACCTCTTGTACGCAATCCTCCAAGACACGGTTGAGGCCAGCGTGACGTGGTGTCGCCGCAATGATCGCCGCTGCCCCAACCGGAATTCCAACACGAGCAGGGGGTGACCGTACTCGCGCCTCGCCCTGGAGGCCCCCACGACCGACGGCGGGAGAGGGCACCCGCCTACCTCGCCGGCCATCACCGTTGGTGTTGACAAAGATTGCTGGAGCCTCCGCGGCCGATCCCTCCTCGATCTCTTCAAGGGCTTGGTTCAGGACAGCGAGACGTGATACCACCGCTCCTGCCGCTCCTGCCATAGCCCCTCCTTCGTGACCTCTGATGGGAACCGGTGACGGCAGGTCGCGTGCCCCTTCCTCCTCATCTCTGAGGTTAGCCGCTATGGCTGTTTCGTCGGCGGCTCGTGTCTGCCTTGCCGGTAGCTTGCCCTTGTACCACCTCCAGGTACACACGGCGAACATCAACACCAGTGCGACAGGCAAACAGGCCTGGAAAGCGGCGGCCAGGCAGTACAACAGCGGTGAAGTAGCGTTTGATTTTCGGATTTTCCAAGGGTTTGACTGCAAGCGGAGTGTGGCGAAGGTCACCGTGATATGGGACTTGCAGCATTGTGCAGACAACTTGCCTTTTCTTCTTGCGGACAGGTTTACGTTCCGCAACATCTGGTGAATGTTCTAAAGCGGTTATTCAGGAGACTGCGGGCCTGCTGTGACAAGTCCGATGTCAACCGGAGTTCAACAAGCAAGACGCTGCTTGTGTCTGCCAATGTTAATTCTGGACGTCGGGAGTTAATGCTGTCGGGCACAACAGCCGGGCGCACACAGGAGAAAGGCAAGACCAAGGAGTATTTTGTTTCGTGTTTCTCCACCTTTTTCACGTTGCTTTCAAACCTTTATCGCGAGAACACTTCAGCCGTTCCTTTACCTCTTGAAGCAGTACGTCGAATTGTCACACAAAATAATCGCTGTCCGCATTTGTTTGTGCATGCCTACAAGCAAGAACGGGCCCGTTTGTGCAACTGCGGCGAGATTCGACCCCACGATCCAGATGTCACAAGCTTTCAGGTACGCCCTGATACTATAGCGTCGGGTGCTGCTCAACCAATCCACTGCTTCTTCGTCACCTCGGCGTTTTTTCTCAAGAAGGGAGCCTGGGTCCTCTTGTTGGTGGTGTCCACTGGGGCGATTCGGTCCTCGGGCAGCTGACGACGCCACCTGCAATGAAGGCGATCAAACATTGTTGATTCGGAGTGAAAGCGGTTCGAAGACCGTCACGAAAACACATGGGTGACAACAGCAGTGTGCTGCAAACTTTATCTTGCTTGGTTTGGATTGAAGAAACCGTCATCGTGATGTGGCACGGACAAACTGTTTTTTTTTTGTTTTTCTCCCATCATTGGACTCTGTCGTCTGTCCCTCTGGCCCCTATCCTCCACTTCTACCAGCTAGAAGACCCAACCGGGGTCACATAGGAGGGGGGGTTGGACCCCCTCCTGCGGTTGTAGCCGTCAGAAAACGAACATCGCCATGCGTCATGCGGAGACACTTTCGTAACTCACGCATCTAGTCAACGTTTACAACTGCGCTCTTCGTTTTCTACCCTTGATTGGCGGCGCGCAAATGTAAGGCAACCTTTTTTTCATACATGCTACCCTACTCATTTTCGGCTAATACGACGGGTGCCGCAGTACTACTGCTGTATTGCAATCCGTTCCTCAATCTGCGGTGGAACCTCGTGTTCGAATGCCTGAGAAAAATCGGCGGCACTCACCCTGATGTGTGCCACGATCGGTATGGCAGCACCATGACTCCGGACATCGGCCGCAAACCAACGACCCTCCATCCTGGGTGCCCTGTAGGTGCTGACGCTACTTTCGCTGAGGCTGGCGCCTGGGAGAGGAAGAAACATGAAGGTTGGAACGGTTGGACCCTTTGAGTGCTGCTTTGGGCAACTGGGTTGGGAGTTGTAAAGATGGGAAACTTGAATTATCGAATATTGCGCCGCATGTTCCCTTTCGGACCCAGCCGCTGAAACGGCCGCCCTCTCGACCAGGAACCGGGCCTCTCTCTCTACTCTCTCTCCCACTCTCTCCCTCTCTCCTTCCCCCTAGGAGGTCACGTTAGAAACCCATTTGCTGCTGGTGTTTGCTCGTAGCCGAAGCACAATATTGGGGTAAAGGGCTACCTTACGTGTAATTGTTTAGTCGAATGACTATGCACAGTACATGGAATTTCCTCCGTGGGCGTGTCCCACAACTGCTGGAGGCACACGTACTCTGTGGATGACACGTTTTATTGGCTATTTCTTGGTTTGTAACGTACTGCTAAAAACACGATGCCCTCCCACGACTTTTAAACAGATGAGAGGGCTGATAAAAGTCTGAGTCGCAAGTCTTTACAGCGGGGCTTTTTGCCACCACCACTTCAACGGGCAGCAAGTGCTCTGCCCGTGACACGTACGCACTGGGGGCTTCGACAGCGCGCCAAAGTATACTGGGGCGTGGTGCTCAAAAGGAAACGCCAAAGTCAACATGTAGGTAGATCTGTAAGATAATGCCTCCTAAAACCGAGCACATGACTTCACATTACTTCTCCAGTATTCCCCTATATACCTTATGAGCAGCCTCTGAACTAGTCTATGGGTGGCCGCTTCCTTCGGCTGAATGACAACATACACGCAACGAGGAAGTGCTGTGGAGGAGAGCAAAGTTGTCATCTAGACTATGTAGTCTATACGTAGAGCTCATTTCCCACAGAACAACTGCCAAATACATCTAGACCATCAGCGAGGCGAGAACTGAACACAATGAGGAAGACAGAACCAGCAATAATAGGCGACGGAGGCCCGAACACGAACATGAGTAGAGGCCTCCGCAGACACGTGCATGTCTCTTCATCTACTACAGTACATTTTCTGCAACTAATAGACTCATCAGGACAGCAACCTCAAGCTTCCTCCGCGACCCTTCCTCACTGGATTCCCGATCATAGCCTATTGGAGCGTTTTCCTTTCTTGGCCGAACTGAGACTGTTTATCGACCGTCAGCTGGTTAGAACGGTGGGTGCTAACGATGAAGGCACGCCCCAACGAACGTCACCCATACCCTGCACTAACCATAACTCTTTCTCCATTTTCGGCGAAACAGCCATACATCTGGACACAACGTTGTCGGAAGTTGAGGCGAGGTACGTCAACTCGATTGTTAGCGGAAGAATCACAACGTATGCGTGATGGAGCTCGCTCCACGCGTACCTCGTTGTCCTTCTCAGACCCTTTCGCCTCCTTCGTCGCGCCAAAGGAAAACCATTGGCGCCGTTCTCTCGTCTGGCTGTTGTCATCGCCAGAGGCAATTTTTCGCCGCCACATGCCCATGACGTTGACCGAGTTGTCGTTGCCAACTCGAAACACACGAAACAGCCCGTGGCGTCAAGACAATCTCGAGTGTATGCTGTTCATGCGTCTGCTCCACGAGCTATGTAGCTTGTGGCCTGCTGACAATGCTTGCGTTGTCTTCGCGCCCGCTCGAGCGGTTTTTCAGAAAACGTGTGATCGTGATTAGACCGCTTCCTGTGTCTACAACATGGGTTATGTGCCTGTTCGTTTCATGATTACTACCTATAACGCCTCATTATTTTCCCCCAAGTGGCGGGAAACTGACAACACAACACGCCAACAGTATTTCCATGGACTCCATGAAACAGCAATCGCCCACTCTGTCCTCTTGCTGTTCACGGGACCGCTTGGGGTGTTCTCCCTTTCCATGATTGCGACCAACAAAGTTCATGAGTTTCCCTTGAAGGACACGGAACACGAAGCCTTTGATAGAGGTAACCAGTAGATGGGCAGAGTCACTAAAAGACCAAAATATTACCGGCGGGTAGCTTCTTAGGCAAGGTTTGTGTGGCAGCCGATAAGTGATATCCCAGGCTGTACAAGAAGCTGGTCTTTCGAGGAACTTTTCGTCTTTGTACGGGAAATAGATCGTCGCGACGCACTCTTTTTGGACGCTTGGAGGAGGAAGATTGCAGTGCGAATGCGGTTCTATCATCTTGATGCCGAAACGGCGTTGGGGTGAATGAGCGGTTGAACCTCAGGCAGGGATATTGAGGCAGTGACTTTCCCTGTACGCCTGGTGTGGTGGGGGCTACTCATGACCGGCGGCTGCTGGGTTTTAGCGATTGCCACGTCGTTTGGGATACATACAGGTGTATGTTGGACTACATAGGACACAAGTGATCGCTTTTACATGTATCACAAGCACCACGAAGTGGTATCCTTTTCATGGGCGGTGAACAGCTTGAAAGTGATGGATGTAGGGGGTGTGGAACAACATTCATTTTTGTTGATTGTAATCATACATCCACCCGGATCCTTGTCTTATGCTCCGAATTCGACAAAGGCTTGGTCACGCAACAAAGGGTTGAGTCGGGGTTCAGTGGTTCACCTCGTCGACCCTTCCGACTCTGGGATGTGATTTCCAGTTCCTCCCCAGTGAAATCGTACAGTCGAAAATACCGACAGCGAAGAGGGAAGGAACTGCCGAACCCTTCTCGCGCTAAATTATAAGGTGAGCACGGTAAGAAGAAATGGGAAAGCAGAAAACCTCCTGTGTACACCTTCCCCATGTGTGACTCAGGGTGTTGCGATAAACGTGGACCGAAAGGTGCGGACAGGCGCCCACAACACACAGGACAAAAGCACACACACAATCCGGATAACAATTCTACCCAGGTTAGATTGGTAACGGTTAGCCCTTGCCAATGTGCGGTTAAGTAGCGCTCTCGCACCGCCGTTTGACTGACTAGCCTAGTCTCAGCATGCTTTCGTCTAGGGGATATGTACCGTAGCCCCTAAAACCCAACACAAGCCATTGAAGGCCCTATTTCCAGACTACATCCTCCGGGGAATAGCCCCCCTTGTAATGCTCTGCTATGTATTGATGTGAACAAGAACAATCTCCGAAGATATCTCCAACATCCATCCACAATCCATCACACAACCCACACCACCGAAATAAACACTACACCGTGGTAATGCAGAACCACGCACGCGGACGGGAGGACCAAAACCGAAGGAAAACGAAAGCTGGTCGTGCCAGGCGCAGGTTAGATACTCTTCCCATCAACAACGAAAATATTAATGCACCGAAGCGAACGATACCCAAAATACAATCCACAACCCTTTTTCTTACGCCGAGTCGGCAAATGGTTATCTTTCGGACCGAGCATGTTCCCTCTTAGGGAACCGAGCGGGCTCTTCCCTCTCGAACGCCGGCGTCCCGATATCGGCCGACAGCACGCATCATTCCGACGGTCATCACGACAGCTGCCGTGCCCGCGATGACCATCCACCGCCGCTCCTCCGAGAAGACCAACGAGAACCGTTCTGACGCCGCCATGAGCACCTTCTCCAGCGGCGACTGCCGGCCGAAGCCGTAGAGGCGGTGGTCCTTCATGTACCGCAGGACCGAGGTCTCTACCGCCAGCGTGCCCTCCAGGAGCTGTGTCCGTGTTGATAATAAAAGAACGCCCGACAAATCAAGACGAGGTTGAGAATCGAGAGAAGAGACGAGTGCTTGATTCTTTGGGAACAAATAAAAGCAGATATCGGAAAGGAAAAGACGAGGAGACGAGTGCTTGATTTTCGGTGGGAAAGAAGTAAAGGCAGAAAACGGAATGGGGGCGCATATACCCAGAACTAGGAGGGGTGGGTGAAAACGCAGGTGACAAAGGTCGACGGGAACGTGTCGATTGAAAATGGATACGCGGAGTTGAACGGAGCCGGTTGCATTTGATACATGAAACTTGGCCTTCGAGTATGGGTGTGTCTCTTATACGGCGCTAGCAGGACAGACATGTTGTAGATGTTTTGACCACCTCTTCATTGTCCTGCTGTCGTCATCCATGCAGGTGCTCTAAATCCATCGAAGAATATGTCAAAAGAATGGGACATGGGTCCGACCACAACGGCAGACGTTCTCGGATGGACAACCCATATCTTCACAGAAGGACAGTCAATCATGGTTTGAGCGACGGACAAAAACCACAACACCTTCGGCGGCCAATGAGATAGTTGTGCATTTCCCCCTCCTCCTCCCTCATCCCTGCCCCCCTCCCTTATGGTGCGTAAAGCAAATCTCACATCTTCCGCTCTTGCGTCCCGAATTTTGGTCGAGGAGACATCCGTGAGTAAGGGCGGGTGGTGCAACTCCACTCCAGAGAGAAGATTCTCCGTCTCGGGCCGCACTCCCATTCCTGCCGCCCGGTGGGGTCATACGTGCGGCGAATACATGTCACGTGCACAATGAGGGACTGAAGGGGAGGCATTGTGACACCGGCCCGTTTGCTATTACGGAGGAACACAGTATTCAGGTCTAAATTGCCCTGAAAAAAAAAAATTGAAACATTTTTTTCTATGCTTTATCCGAAAATATACGCATTTGTGGCCTTCAGAACAGATCTTTGGACACCCATAAGGAGGACACGAGTATGAACTTGGGATTAAAAGAAAGCTCATGACCTCAGCTCTCTGCAGATACCCGAGTTGCGCTCAGAAGTTCTGTATTCCGTACAAAATATGCAGCTGAACATGGGCACTTCCAGCGCCTTTTTTTCACTGGGGAATAGGGTTGGAGCAGCCTGGTTCTGAATTGGCAACGCAAACAGAACTTTTTGGCAACCCTGGGAGTGTGCGATCCGGGCAGCGTGCCCCTTTTTGAAATCCAACACGTCGGTGTCGAGCACTCCGCTGTGGAACAGAGGCACCTTGGGTCTGGTGCCCACGGCTGCACGTGCGCACATGGTGACCAAAAGGAAGGGTCGCTATGTTGCGACCGGCGTGACAGCCAAAGGGAAGGCCAGGACGGAGAAAGCGAACTTGGCGAACATGCTGCGCGCGAAGGAGGCAGCTCTCGCTGTCCGCGAAGCAACCGTCGCCGCTCGCGAGGCGGCGATGGCGGAGGCAGAGAAGGTAGCCAAGGAGAAGCAGCAGCAGCAAGGACCCGAAGCGGACACACGTACGCCCCAGCAAGAGGCGCGCGAGCAACAAGCTGCCCAGCAGCGTCACGACTTGGCCCCCAGGACAGGCTCCCTTCTGGACATTTCGCAGTCTCGTTGCACACGCCGTTCAGAAGATGAACAAGTGGGTTACGAGTGACCCCGTTCTCAGGGGTCAGATGGGCGCTCTTGAACAGATTCCCGAGTCGTACGAAGATGATGCTCCTGGGCACAACGACATCGTACACGATGATGGCGTCGAGGCCCAGGAGCAGCTTGAGTTGTCTGCCGAATTTATGGAGTGTATGGGTGACGAGGATGCCGACGGCGATGCAGAGGTGTAGACATCAATGAGATTGAAACTGGTTTTGTTGTCGTTGTATTATTGGCGTATTGGCATTTGTTTTCAGCACCTGTATCATGTAGGGGTCCTCTCCCCTGAGTCAATATGGTGTTTTGAGTTATTACATGTTGCAGATTCCAACGGAATGGCAGTTTTTATGTTTTCATTCGTTCTGTGTGGTGTCTTCAGCTCAATCGTCAATGAGCAAGGTTGACGTGTTGCGGTCGATAATACATGAAAATTTATAAACATCAACAAGATTTCATTCAGCATTTCTTTTCTCGCATGGCGATCCCAGTGATGCGGTTCGTTTGAGCTGTGGGTGGTAGACATAAGCAGCCATTTGCTCAAGATATCAAACAACCTGGGCCAAATATTCCGCCGCCGCCAAGGTCGAAATTCGACACATGTGGCGATTTCTCTTCGGGAAGAACTTTGTTTTTTGTATTTGGTTCTTCATGATGACGGCGTTGACACTGTGGTTCATTCAAGCCATCGTGGGTTGACGTGCATGAAAAAACGACCGAGATATGCTAGGATTCGCGCCATATCTAGAATCTGCCCCGCGGGGTAAAACATGACATAATGAGGCGTTGCTCTGTGGCATCGCCGACTTTTCTTTTTTTTTTTCATCGTGACCGCTTGTTCCATACGGTTCGTTTAAGCAATAGATCGAAAAAATTGACCTTATATCGCTCAACCAACTGCCAAGGACCTGAATACTATGTTCCTCCGTAATAGCGATGCAGACACTCGTAATCCCACCAAGCGCTGACAGGGATGGGGGGGTGGAGAGAAGGAAGTGGTGGGAGGAAATGTTAATTGGCAAAATAACTTGGCAACGGGAATTCAGGGTGCCAAGGGGTTACATGTGACAAGTCAACAGTTGGGTTACGGCTAAGTCGCAAAGCGCCGTACCCCACCAAACCTCCGACGACTTGACTGCTGCCGTGGTGTACACCTTCCTGGCAGTTGAAGCAGAACATTGTCTACAGTACATTGCCTACAGCATACACCACTGGTAAGTGGTACTCCTACCACACTGTTGTCCTCCGCACCTGCCCGGCAATAGAGCAAACCCTCCAAAATTATCACGGGTGTCAGTTAAATATCAAGTGGAAAAGCGCTAGTCCATGTGTACAGTTTGAGGGAAGAGAGTGCAGCACTCTGCTTGCATTCAAAATCGAAGGCAAGCACGGGCGGGGGCCTGAGGGAAAGGGGGCCTTCTGTATGACGACGGATTTGGAGCTACCCGACGGACATGCTGCAAGCGCTAGTTTATTCACAGAAGTACAAGTACAAAAGAAAGAGACAGCGTGTCTCAACTCGATCCAAATGAGCTGACGCCACTCACTATCGACGATGACCAAGGACACCATGTTCATCAGCTCCTCGGACTTGCGCCACTTCTTCTTGTGGAGGTCTTGGTACGTGTCCGTCCCGAGCAGCAACGAGAACTGTTGCCGCAAGGCACCACAGGCAAGACACGGCGAAAACAGTGGGGATTTCCCGAATAAGGCGGTCGTGGGGCAGAGGACACTGACCGCCTAACATGTGGCAGCCACCTGTATTCCATGTGTAGAAAAAGTTGATTATCCCGCCGATGCCAGCCAATTTTACCCGCCTTATGTAGGGCGACCGCAGTACTCAGACTACCTTTCTTGGGGACCTCCACTGTAGGTTACGCAACGATGAAAGGGGGACGGGGGCGAGGGAGGGGGCAGAGTATCCCTCATCGAAGGAAAGGGGGGCTTCGGGGAGTTGAGGAAGATCTACAAGCTTCACTTGTACGTAAAGAGTTCATGACGCATTCCAGCGTGTGAGGCAAGCAAACAATCGGTCTCTCTTACCTCAACGTCGGGGTGTTGCTTCTTCAGGTAGACCACCACGTCGTAGGTGCTTGACCGCGCTGGCCTTTTGGTTTCATGTCACAAAACACGTGTGTACAGAGGTCACGGGAGGGGTTCGTGAAGTCATCGCGCGCGCTTTCTGTTTGCACCAGGCAAAGGATACGCGTTTACCAGCCATCGGAAGGTGCCAACTTTCAAACCATCCTACCCGCGCGACATGCTGCAGCGGATGGCCCGCATTCACGCCAGTTGAGCCGGGCTCCGAAACCTCCCGGGGGGTGGAATCTGCTCAAGAATTAGCCCTCACCAGCAACCTCTTACGTAACGGTGTACACGCCTTGCCGAGCCAAGGGGGAAAAACTTCCATCAACTGCACGATCTTGCGGACAAACTCTGCAGAGCTTCCGGAGGGGCAGGAGCGAGACGTTGAAGCGGGACACCAAGCCTCACCCTGTCCCTCGAGAGTTGAGCATCTCCGCGAAAACCTCCTGCTCCGTTCTTAAAACGCGCACCCTGCAGCTCGCGGTGGAGTAGCATTCGAAGGCGAGCCTGGGCAGGGGAATCGGCCGCCGAAAGGAGACGTGACTTCGATTTACTATCCGCTATGAGCCGACGACGAAGAGGAAACCACAGCGACGGGCATGACGGAAGGCAGAGCGCAAGGATCAGAGGTTCCCTTATTACCTGCACATCTCTATTCTGTCCTCGTACGTAGGAGCGCCCGTCTTCGCCATTGCTTCTCTCTTGGCCGAGAACATGTGCTGGTACACCGGGAGGATCCAGATCTCGCTGAACCGTTCTGAGTGCTCCGCCGTGTGCGATCGTACGTTCGGTTTCGAAAGTTCCGTTTGTTTCCATCGGGGATAAGATGGAGGAAGGAGGGCGGACGGGGCGAGGGAAGGGGGGCAGAGGGAGAGTGAGAGTTGCTGTGGGAGCTACTGAGCTTGGGAAAAGTCACACAGCAGCTGGCAGTCAGCTGTTGGCTTGTCCTGCTGCCTGCTATATTTTCATCTTGTATCACCTCTTGATGACACTACTGTGCTCTCATGCGCCCACCCCGGAGGGACCACTTGCATGGAATACAGTTTTCGTTTTCCGCACAGAAACATAACGCCCAGCGTGGTTACGGCAATACACATCCGCACGTGCACACAGGGGCAAAGGCAGGCAGGTAGGCAGGCAGGCAGGCAGGCAGGCAGGCAGGCAGGCAGGCAGGCAGGCAGGCAGGCAGGCAGGCAGACAAGACAGACAGGACAGACAGACAGGACAGACAGACAGGACAGACAGACAGACAACCTGCTTACAAGGTGAAAACGGTCGCACATCAGCAGCAGTGGAAGTCCTGCTGTCTGCCGGACGGACACGCTCGTCTGCATCTGTACACGCGGGGGGGTTGTGCAGATCTCCCCTCCCCGCAGTGAAACAGGAAAAGTCTGACGTTTTTTCGTTTTCCAAGCTCAACTTCAGTACTAACATTTCATACTACACATCTACAATCGCGACAAAGGCCTCCCTCCGCACTTTTCGCGCGTGGATAAACGGCAGTACAGTAGATAGGATCCGAAGTCCGTGCGAACCACATGAACACTTATTGTACCGACTGAGGCAAGACCTACTGCTGTGCACGACCCCAGGGCTTCAAATCGATCACAGCGATGAATAGGGTACGTGAGCAGAGAGTCATGTCGAAATTGGTGGTGCTCACAGGCACTCGCGCAGGCTCTGAGTTGCAGTCATCACCGTGTGCTTGGAGAAATGGGCTCGCCACGACCTATTTAGATGTCGCTGAAGAGGCACCGACCCGCACAACTCCCAGACGATTTTTTTTACACATCAGAGTTAAAAGTAACACTTGGTGGGAGACATTCTACTGCATGCTCTACGTCCATGTAGACGCGGGCATTACAAAAGGGTCAGTGTTGGTAGAACCCGGGCCCCAGTTCATGTTCAAGAGTCGCTGGTCGTTGCCAAGTTTGAACTCTGCACGTCATGCCTCGTGCAGTAGCATTCAAGCACACAGCACATCGGTACGAGTTCAAAAACACATTGATTGGTGTGGTGCACACAGCAGTAGAAGTTCTTCTACACGGGGCAGACACTGGAACAACTGCACCGGTCAACATGCGTAACACACACCTAGATTGACGAAGTACTCGATCATGCCGCCGTGCCCATCTCGACCTGTCGGGGGGTTCCCTGATAGTCCAAACAGCAGAACTTTCTGCATCTCTGACATGTTCTTGATACACCCTGGAGAGAGAAATGCAATGAAATTGAGTGTAGCGTAGCTGGGATATCGTGTCCAGGCACGACGGGCAGCTGCTGCGGCGGTGGCGTGCTGCTGTGTCACATGCAAGGTCAGGCGGTGTGCGACGTGCGGGGTAATGGGCGTGGGCCTGTGCGATTTAGGTAGGTAAGTGAAGGGCAAGATAGCAGCCGCGGGTCCCCTCCCGTTCAGGTTGTCAGGTCGGATGGACTGCTGTGCAGCCACAACACAAGCGGGCAAGGACACAAGAGAGAGGGCATACCAGAGGCCCAGCTCACACGCCAGGCGCCAGGATGCCTATCAGATCATGGTTCCCGAACATGGTGATGGCCATGATTTCCGGTGAGAAAATGCTTGCTGGGAACCCCACCGCATTTTGATCTAAACAGACCTAACTACAGCGTAGTCTTCAGCCTATGATATGCATGTCAGCAACCAATCCTTGTTTCCACCCTGGACAACGAGCCTGAGTGTAGAGTGTAGAGCCCTCCGCTGTGCTATACAGACGACAGGAGTTTCTCAGTCACGTTGAATTCTAACCGATGCCGCTAATGGTACTCCTTAGGGGGTGCAGGGAGGGAAACGGGCAGAGACAGACGTGGAATAACACCGGGGTTGCATGCCTACAGCATACGGCCTACGCGGGCCAGCAATGTGTTGAAGAACAGCAACAGCAGGCGTGCCACCGACAAACGTTCTATTTTCGCAACCCTGGGGTTCTCATATATCAGCAGCTACTGCTGTAAGGTTTTGCAAAGCCGGGTTCAAGTCCAGACTTTTCGACCACTTGGAACCCTCAAGTCCTTCAGCAGTGGTATTGTACATACGCACACCAGCTGACATATTTTAGTCCAATGGTTTAGTTCCGGCTTCAAACAGTGTGAAGCCTGGGTCTCACAAAAGTTAACGGTGGGTTCGAGACCCGGGCTGAACAGTGGAAGCCGAAAGCAAACCAATAGACATATGGGTAATGGTTTAGTTTTGGCTTCTAAACAACGAAGTCGTCGCACCCGGGGGCCGTGGCTGATGCTGGAACCCCCTTGGAATCTTGATGCCTGCCCCCAGCTGGCGGTCTTCCTCGCTAGCAATAACATTATTGCGTCTGGATCATAAGCAGCAGCGCAAACAGAAGCAGAACATCCCTGGTTGGAACCTTTCGTCGTAGCGCAGCGGTGTCGACCGACCCTCCGTCGTTCTTGAACGCCACGTCTCCCTTAAGTCCTACAGCAGCCTGTAGTTTTAGCTTGGTTCCGCTGGGCTGCCTTCTTGCGGGGCTGCCCCCTTTCCCGTCTCAACAGCAAGGGCGGCGGCTTCTTGTCAGGGTTTGATTGCCAAACGTGTCGAAGCAAAGGTCGGCATCGTTCGTGTTGTGGCAAATGTGCAGCAGTAGTTGACTCCCATGCAACGAACGGTGCCGCGATTCTGATTGCCAAGAGACGTCGTTTAAGCCGGAAATGTTGGGATGAGGCCTAGTATTGGCGGTTGGTTGCTTGTTGAATAGGCGGTAAATCGGACCGTCCAACTCAGTGCTCTCGACAGAAAAATGCTCCCAGCCGCGTTTCCCACACAGCCCTGCCCGTTTTTGTTTTCTCGTCGGATTCAGTTGTGCTAATCCTGTCGGTTCCCCATTCGCTGAAAACTTTGTGTGTGCTTGCCGTGCGTCTTACATCTCGGGGTCGAAAGGGCCGAGTAGATCAAGACCGGCTCAGGCATCGTTCAAGATTCAGCCCAGGATGACCAAGTGGGAGGTGAAGGAATACCTCACCAAGATCTACAACGTCCCAGTCAAGAAGGTACGGCGGGTCCCTGTTGAACCAACAACAGCAGCAGCTAGTCAATGCAGAGCGAACCCAATTTGTCACGGATCCGCTCGCAACCTCAAGCTTAGAGTATTCGGCAGCAGGAATCCGGGAGCTTGAGAAATGCAGCATCCGCCGGCTGGAGCTCGTAAATTGTTTCCCCGAGGTCGACGCCCCGGCCGTAGCCTCAGGGACGTGTGAAAGCCAGCGGATACGCAAATTCGTTCTTTGGAGATGGCAAGCAAAGGCAAGTAATCAGATGAACCAACCACCGACCTACCGCCCCCCACAGTTTTTGTTCCCTATTGCGCGGTGTTCCCCCTGATTTCACTCTCGGGCCCTTGCCGCTTCCCTCGTCAGGTGATGACTCAGAACTTCGAGGGAAAGCGCAAGCGAATAATGGGGAAGCGGTCGATCGTGCCGTACAAACGACCAAACTTCAAGAAGGCGATAGTCACGTTCGCAAGTCCGCAGTGGACGCCGAACAAGGGGCCGCGGTCGCTGCCTAGCTAACTCGCCTACCGATCGTAGCCCACTCGTAGCAAGATTGTGAGGCAGGTGCTTGGGTGTGTACACTTGAGGGTTACCAACCGGAACAGCAGTGGCGTCCTGCAGACCGCCCAGTTTTATGAGATGATATACGAAACGCGCCTCCATAAGTATCAACGAGTGCTGACGGGGTGTAGTGCCGTGTCACCATGTTTGGCGCTGTTTGTAAACGAAGGCATGGCTTGTTTTTGGTCGTTGCCAGCTGGGGTCCGGCCCTGCTAACCTAGTGGGGGGAGCCGCCTTCGCTACATGCCCGATGTTGGGATCCAGACCACGTTGTGCATGAAGGCATTGAACACGTGTTGCAGATTTACTGAAGGAAGTTCCAACACATGGGATAGTGCTGTAGCCTGTTAGTTTTTTAATATGTCGTTGTATGCCTCCTGCGTGTTGCAAGCACCCCGGCTGCGCTACTTGTACAGCAGCACTGGTCCGCCATTCCAGGCTCATTCTGCCAAGCATATCAACCGCAACAATCCCCGACCAAGTAGACATCAGGGTTGAGACATGACTCAGCGGTGGGTCCTACCCTATTACTCTGTTGTAGTCTATGCTCGGCGGTTGGGATGAAACAAGAAACCTCGACCCTGTGCTAAGGTAAAGTTTCGTCGCAGCGCGTTAGTGTATGTGTCTTTGGGAGCAAGATTTTGTCCCAACACACTCCACCTGAGATCCAAATATGGTCGAAAGGCCTGGCTTTTTCCTTCTTCTAGATATATGTATGTACTTGATACTTGATACCTTGGTCGCGCGAATCCAACACTGAGGTCGAGACGTACGGGACTGACGCTTGTGCGGGGGTCCTTGGCGCAAAACATTGCGGCGCGACTGTTACAGACCAATTCTACGAAGAGAGTGCTTCGCGTTCTTCTGGGTGTGGCGGTGGGAGATTTTGTACGGCTCCCGTGGCTTCGTCATCCGACGTTGTAGACTAATCATCGATGTACAAATTGTTTGTTGTAGACACCAATATTTTTTAATTTGGGCGTATTCATTCCACAGGCGTTGCGGATGGGGAATCGTGAAAAAAAAACATCGCTTGCGGGGTCCGTGTCGATTCTTTGGACGTGATGCCGTTGAATACAGAACGAGCCACAAATTCTGTAACGTTCATGTATGCCTACCTCACAAGAATTTGGACCCCGCCCGACAATTAACACCATTCTCTGTCGTTTTCCTCTCAGGGGAAATGTCTCGCGAGGGTTACCGAAGACCAACCATGAATACTTAACGGCAAAAATCGAGCATCAGATCATCTCTGATCTGCCTGTCTCACCCAGTCGTTCTGCACCACACCACCATACACAAAAGAACAGCAGCAGTTGCTAGAGTGTAGTATGGTGCCACTGCGTCAGTGCGCCATCCGTATTGCTGCTGTGCGTTTGTTCGTATTGCGTCTGTTGATGTGCTTCTTTCCTGCCGCTACAAAAATCACTGCTTCTGCTTCAGCAGTTTTGTAGCTGTGCGCTTTTGCGGCACAGCAGCAGCAGCAGCAGCAGCAGCGAGGGCGTGTTGCTTCCATGTCCCACACACTCCTTCTACTCTGTGTGCTATGTGCTGGGTGCTGGGTGTGCTGTGTCTGCTGTCTGTTGCCAAGATCGCAGGTGAAGTGTGCCCCTCCTGTGTCGCTTTCAAACGTGTCACAGAACCGACAGCGGCTAAGTCCCCCATCTTATTTCAAATGGATCTACTAAGGCTACTTCTTGTGTGTAATATCTGATCAGATTATTTTTGATCAAGAATGATCTCATCAAAAATGACGAGGTGTCTCGACGCCCCGAATCTTATGTGTCATAAAAAATTTATCAGAAAAAAAGTTGGGTTTCATAGGTTCCCGATCGGCGTTTGGGCAACACAATTCAAATCCGCGCGCGAAACGAGACTGTCCACGGACGGCTCCGCTACAATGCTCAAACGCGTCAACAGCGATTCAGCAGACGGCACACAGAGCAACCCGAGCAG